TTTAAAGTGATTGTGATGGGTTGGATCACAGAAACCCCCTTGGAGTTGCCAACTGATATGCCAAGACTACTTCTGCCCCTGCCTTCCCTGCCCTCCCAGCTTGGGACTTCAGTGCCCTGCCTGGTTTCTGCCAGACCCACTAGCCTGCTGCAAACCCAGACCCAGGTCTGAACCACGTCCCCTAACAGCTGTAGGCTTAAACTGAAAGCAGGTTAAGAAGCGTTCCTGTCTTTAACACTCAGATGCCCAACTCCCAATGGGGTCCAAAGCCCAAATAAATCCGTTTTACCCTGTATAAAACTTATACAAGGTAAACTCATAAATTGTTCACCCTCTATAACACTGATAGAGAGATATGCACAGCTGTTTGCCCCCCCCCCCACTATTAATACATACTCTGGGTTAATTAATAGGTAAAAAGTGATTTTATTAAATACAGAAAGTAGGATTTAAGTGGTTCCAAGTAGTAACAGACAGAACAAAGTGAATTACCAAGCAAAATAAAATAGAACACGTAAGTCTATGTCTAATACAGTAAGAACTCTGAAAACAGATAAAAACCTCACCCTTAGAGGAATTCCAGTAAGCTTCCTTTTACAGACCAGACTTCTTCTAGTCTGGGTCCAGCAATCACTCACACCCCCTGTAGTTACTGTCCTTAGTTCCAGTTTCTTTCAGGTATCCTTGGGGGTGTAGGGGCTATCTCTTTAGCCAGCTGAAGACAAAATGGAGGGGTCTCCCACGGGCTTAAATAGACTTTCTCTTGTGGGAGGAGACCCCCTCCTCTCTCCTATGCAAAGTCCAGCTCCAAGATGTATTTTTGGAGTCACCTGGGCAAGTCACATGTCCATGCATGACTTAGTTTTTACAGGTAGCAGCCATTGCCCACATGGTATCTTGAATGTCTCCAGGAAGACTTCTTATGTGGATTGGGGCCTTCCAACATCCATTGTTCGTTAAATGCTTCTTGATTGGGCATTTAACTTGCAATTTCCTTTCTAAAGAAGCTGACCAAATGCCTTAGTAAGGTTATTTAAAATCAAACAAGTATACAGCCAATATTCATAACTTCGAATACAACAATGACACATGCATACAAATAGGATGAATATATTCAGTAGATCATAACCTTTATAGAGATGGGTTACATGGCATATGTAGCATAAAACATATTCCAGTTATGTCATATATATACATTCATAAGCATATTTCCATAAAGCCTTATGGGGTGAACTGTCACAGTGACGTCACCCTGGGCTAGGGCAGCAGTGCAAACATCCTGTGCTCCCCTGTTGGGTGAATTCCCCACTGGAGCACAGAGGCTGCTGCTGCTACCAGGGTTGCCATGTCTCTGCCCTGTGTTAGTGAGGGCAAATCAAGGTGACTGCCAATAGCCTAGTCTATGCATGGGACTTGCCTTGATAACAGTGATTGGTGGCACAGCGGCTGTTTCCACCAGTGCAGTTTTCCCCTGCTTGAAAAAGGTTGCACTGGTGTAAATTGTTGCTTATAATGGGTTGTCTTATATGCATTAGGAGATGGCACTGGTGCAGCGACACAAGTGGTTAGTCACCAATGGCTATAAAGTGGGCAAATTACCAGGGTAGACAAGGCCTATAATGCAGTGAACTCTGCTTTTGCTGCTGCCTTCCACTGTGGCAGATTCCCATAAACCCTGGTAAACTAGGTAGTGGATGGCTGTGTAGTGTAGGCAGAGATTCTCAGAGTGCTGCTGTTGGTGGCAGTTGTATGAGTGGATTACAAAACAATGAGTGATCACCAGCTTGCTTTATTTATCTGTCAGAGTTGCAGACTGGATAATTGTTGTTGTTAGGTATTGGAACAAAATGCCTCTTTCGCGGAGCTGTCACACATTCTAAACAGCGTGTTCTGTTTTGAACACATGGCATTTTCAGTGGGGCTATTAGTTCTAAATATACAAGACCTACAGAAGCAGGGTGAACAGCCTGTTTCATAGAACTATCTGAAACAGTGTTTGTGTTCAGTGTACTTTGTACAGAAATATGAGATTAGGTAGCTCATGCTTCACACTGATTTTATTAGCGGCAGCTTTAATATCCCATTTTTCATCATGCAGTGAAGACACAGAATTTGCTGTTTTGATTTTTTTCCCCATCGAGTCTTCACATGCATTTCCATGAGCAGATCTTGTTTCCATGGCATCAGCCTTTAAACCCCATCATTGGTGGGCTGCATTAGCCAATGAAAACACACAAAAAATCAATACTGCTATAATGTATGGCCCTGTTGCACGAAGAGTGCAATAATACAGCGATATGTTATGCATTTTAGTATGCCAGTGCTTGAAGCTCTGAGTAGCTGTAACACTGCAAGATAGAAGTTTCACAGCTACTTTGCTAGTACCGTTCCAAGGCCATTGTTTTCTCTGAGTCCTTATATATTAATTGTTCCAGAAAATGAGATTCATCACAAAATGCATGATGGCTTTTAAAACAATTTGTTTTTCTTATTGCAGTTTTCCCAACCCAGACGCTTCCATTTCTTGGCTCAATACATTGAAACCAGAGGAGATTTGTTGAATCTCAGCTGTCAACTTTATTCGTACAGCATCTATGAAATAAGATTCCAGGATTGTCCGTCACTCTGTATGTCACTCTGAAGCCTAGAATGTCTGAGTCAGTGTGAAGTAATGGAAACAGCTACAAGTATGGCTGAGAGTGCTTATTGTTCAGAGTATCATCAGGTTCAGTCATCACTGGGATTTGTGGTCTGTTACCATCCTATTTTTAAGTTCTCGGTCATGTTGACTTGATGAATTACACCCATGTGACAGTAAGGTAATAGCTATTGTGGTAAACTCAGGACAGATGGCTGCAAGGAGTGGGAGGGGGGATAGAAAACAGTCCCAGAAGGTTAAAAGGCCCTCCTCCGTATTAACTGAGGAGGGGTGACTACAGGTCAGTCAGGTTCAGCTGAGAAGGGGTTACTAGAGATCAATTAGGATCAACTGAGAGGGAGTTGCCTGAGGTCAATTAGGATCAGCTGATTCCAACTAAGGGCCGCCTGAGACCTTTTTAAACCCTCCCCTGTTGGGAGAAGGGGAGGAAAGAGAGAGAGAAGGAGTCAAGCTACCAGTAGACAAGTAGCAGCAAGGGACAAGCCTCTCTAGGAGGGAAGGCTGCATTCCATCCCATAAGGGAGAAAAACAAACCCAAACCACTGGCTGAGAAAAGGACAGACTGCCCCTGTGCAGCCAAGAAGGACTGTTTACGCAAGCCCGACTCACCAAAGCTAAAACAGCTGAGGCTGGTGAGACCGAGAAGGTGCCTTGCCACACTATGTAATGCCAAGAGTCTGAGACCAGTGTGATATCGGAGGTAATTCAACAAGACACCATTGTTACTCTACAGCTAATTTTCATGCAACGGATTCATTGGTTGTATGAGGGAGACTGCACATATGGTGGTTTACTTGGTCCAACTGCCACAACATGGGCTTTCAGCTACTAGTTAGCTAATAATAAGGTGTTTTCATGTCACAGTTGTGCTGTTTTGCATATTCAGTACCCATGATCATAGCGTTTACTTCTAACATAATGATTCAAGACTGGATGTCATAGACATATGCTAGCTCAACCCAAAATTGTGGGTTTCAAGCACTTGGAGAAATCTTATGACCTTTGCAATGCACAGGCTCAGAATACGTGATCACAATGATCCCTTCTGGCCTTAAAAATCTATAAATCTAGTATCCTTATTTAAATATTATATAGAAGAGTAGAGTTTGATTGCCGTTTATTCTGGTTAGTTCAGTAACCTCAGAGATTAGCAGTGAATTTCCAGATTTATTATTAACTGGGTGTATGGGTTCCTTTCCTGGTGATTTACTTGGTCAAAAGGTTAAAACTAGAAGGAAGTAATTAAAAGAACCTTTTATCTAGTGAAGTCCACATGATGTCTGATAGATGATTGCGGCCATCAGTCAATATTCCAGAAGAATGCAGAGGTAGCACTACGTGCCTGCAGTGGGTATGGTCCACTGAAGGAATGAGTATTAAATTATTAGGGATTAAATTAGGATATGGAACTTGGTCACTGAGATTCCCTGACATGTGTGACAGTAGCTCACGCATTTTCCATCTTCATAGCAGCAGCAAAAATTAAAAAAAGCTTTGTGGGTACATGTCACTGTTGACTTTAAAGTCCTGGGCAGAGAAAAAGAGAGAGAGAGAGAGGTGGAGGGGAACCTTTTAAAATATATATCACACTTTTATCACAGATCATCAGGACAGAATTCATTTCAAATTGACATGGGGGAAAATTTCAGCCAAATTAGCTGCTTTCAGGTGAGTTTGTGGTGCTGCCTTTAACAAATAAGCTAAAAAAAGAATTGCATTGCTCTTTAAGCTATACAAATTACAAAAAAAATTCTGAGTTTAATGCTGGTGGAAGGAGCATTATGAAATCTGCATTATGAAATCCTTTGCAGTACATGTCCTCTCCTCCAGATGAGGACAGGGGGGATGGAATCACTGGAAGCTTCACCGCACAGCCCTGCCAATATGCCTCAGTGCTGTTCAGGAAATATCAATAGCTGTGAATGGGTGAGAAGGAAATTAGATCTTCATTGTCCATTTGATTCCTGATCTTTCTCCCTTTGACTCTGATCCCCAAAAGACTTATGCTTGTGCTTAGTTTTTGTGCACAAATAGTCCTGTTGATACAAGTGCATAATGTTAAGGTCTTTGCAGATCTGTGGTCTACCTTATGAAAAAGGATAGAAGTACCAATTGTGATTTTGGTTGTCTTTTTTTAATGTAAACAGCTGTTCATTAACAAATGAAGTGAGACCACTAATGAAATTTTCTCCGAAATGTACAGTAGTATACTTCAAACTTAATTTTACATTGTACAAACCACAATTGTTTTTCAGCCTGTTGTGGTTGTCTTGGTCCAAGTACTGTATCTACTTAAACTTGTCCGCAGATTCTCTTTCATTCATTCACATTTCTTTTGCAGATTGCATGTGGCTCAGAGCATAATCTGGCAGTAGTTGGTAAGTAGCTTAATTTTATATCAAATGCTATGGTTGCTTTTTTTTTCTCATTTGTAAGTAGCACAAGATTAAAAGAAAATGTACCCAATGAATTATTGCAGAATGCTTGGTAGAGCGGAATATGGTAGCAGAAAGGAGGAAACAATCCATTTGTATTGGTGAGAAAAGAAATCTGAAATATAAAAAGCACTGGTAATCATGATAGCTGGATAGCACTTTTCAATGCTCTTGCTGACTAGCTACAGAGAAAGGGAGAGAGGGGAGTTAATGAGTGTAACAGCAAAATTAATTTAAGTAGTCCTAGGACATATTTTACAATCGAACCATTAAAGCATGAAGTCTCAAATTCAAAGGAGCAGCTAATCTTGGTTAAAAAGTGGTAAACATTTTAAGTGAAATATTTCATGGAAAAATTCTTGTAGTTTTTGTTGAAATTTTGAAAATGTTTAAAATGTCAGCCAGCTTTATTTAGCATATATAGTACCTCTCCACTTAAATGTGGCTCCTATAGTAATGGTGAAAGGTTCTAGGCCTAACACCAATGGAAAGATAATCCTGTCTTCCAGTACCAGAAATAATCAGATCCTGAATTTCTACTGACTTCACAGGATACCTGCTGATGTGCACTGGGACCGAAGCCCCATGATTATAATTATAGTAATTATTAATACCCAGTTCTTATATAGCACAATTTCCATCAGTAGATGTTGAAATGCTTTTACAAAGGAAGTCAGTATCATTAGCCTGATTTTTACAGATGGAGAAACTGAGGCCCAGAGAGGGGAGATGTGACTTACTCAAGATCGGCCAGTAGCAGAGCTGTAAATTAAACCCAGGGCACCTGAGTCCCAGTCCAGTGCCCTAGCCGCTAGGCCACACTCCTCTACTGGTTCAGGCTTTAAGGTGTTAAACAAGGAATTTGCCTAATTGTGACACTAAATGAGGAATCAGTGGGAGTCATGCCCTCCAGTATCCAAACATACATCCTTGTGTATCCTGTAAAATCAGAGCAAGTCTGGTAGTTACCCAGATAGACTATGAATATAATAGTTTTTATCAGAAAATATTTTGTGTGTGTTTTACAAAAATAGGGTCATGACTTATCCATTTTAGGTCCAAGCAGCCCATTTTATTTAGTACAGACTTTTTTTTTTTGGAAAAGAAAGATTCTTTGGATGAACGGGTTTTCTGAGTCGTATCTGTCCATCTGCCTGTGATGGGGTGGACTGTGCCCAGAGGCCTCCTGCTGGAGGCCTCAGTGTCCAGCCATATCTATCCCAGGAAAGGAACAGTAGAGGAGTCCTCCAAGCAGCCAGTCAGGGCCCAGGAGGGCCATATAAAAGGAGCAGCAGACAGTCAGGAAGAGCTGTTGGCTGGCTGCTGGGCCTGAACTTAGGTGAGCCCTAAGGTAAGGTGAAGCTTGGGCGAAGGTTGGGGCTGTGGGAAAGTGGCCCAGGGAACTGAAAACACTGTAGTTAAAGGGACATGGCTGAGACCTGGAGTAGTTGGTGGGCCTGGGTCCCCCCAGGAGGGTACTGGGGAACTGGCCTACAACCAGACAGCAAGAAATCCCAGAAGGAGAACTGTAGTGGCCCAGCTGGAGACTGGAGCCGGAGTACACCAAGAGGGCAAAACCATTGCTTCCATGGAGGAAGCCCTGGGGGCACGGCCAGATACCAGGGCCAGGACTATTTAAAGACCGCAGGCAGACCTGACGAGAAGGGGTGCTTGCGAGAGGTGGGTGCCATGCCCTTACACTGCCCCTTTGAACCTAATGAATAGAATGTCTGTAATAGCTCCCTTGAGCTCCCGCTCACCTCCACAGGAATCATTACTGCATATCTTTGAAAATTGGCTATTTGATACGTGATGCACATTCATGTACTGTTTTCAAGGAGGTATTTATTTCATGTTGGGGTCTTGATTCTAGATTCATAAACCATCTACAGAGCACATTTTGGACGCAGCATATAATTGATTATCCTTGTATGATAAATCTTATTATGAACTATTCAATCTGATTAATTCTACTGACTATGGGAAGGTATCTCCCCCCGCCCCCCCCAACCAGTTGTTCATTGTCACATGCCCTTGCTGATTAGGGACTCGGGTGCTGTTGAAAGCCAACTAGCAATCTGAAAACTCACATTGGGCTTCTCACTGAATTTATGGACTGAAAATTTAGCTAGTAGCAGATTTCTCCAGTGCAAGTGAAAGCAAAGTATTGGGTTTAACCCTTATCTCCCTGTCCCTCCCAATGTCCTCTTAGTAAATAATCTTCTGCCACATAGAGATAATCTCAAAAATAAATATGCAGGGAAAAGAAATACCTTTGAAACAACTAGCAGGAAATTTAATGTCAATTGTGTAAAGATTTTACATACCTAATTTCATGCCCTGTGAGTACACTCACAGACTTCTGTAGGAATGTTCTCAGAGCATAAAGTTAAGGATATTTTTATTGTGACATCACAACAGAAATATTTTGTTGCTGTTTTTTTTTTAACTTAAAGCGTTATGGTAAGACCTACTTGTGCGGTGAATTTTTAAAAAATACTTTTAAAAAAGTTGAATTTTGTGGAAAGGATTATTTTTTCCAACCTTTCATAACTTGTTGCTAGTTCAAAATGGCCAATCTTTTCACTAGTTAAATACATCTCGCAATCTATAATAAATATGTATGTTTGATTGTACAGTTTTTCAATAGCATTTATAATAGAAACTTTAATGAGCACTGATAAATAATCTATGCTTTATTAGTAGATTTCCAAACACTTACCCTGCATGGATTTCAAATTAAAAAAAAAACATAAACTTTCTGTAGTAAAAGAAATATATAAATTACAAACAGCCCCAAACCCTAGAATATTAAAGCAATTTCAATTCTGAAAGCATGCATACACGCACTTTATAGGCAAACACATACGGTGTGTGTTTTTGTTTGTATCTTCCTTTTAAGTCAAAACGTTTCCTTTGAGACCCAGAAAATACATTTTACATTAATTTCTTAAACTTAGTGAAGAAATTGTTCCTCCTAGTCTTATTGATAGTGCAAATTGTCTTGAATAGGTCTATTTGGCAGCTAATTTTCCTTCCATGTTACTATGGACAGTCTATCGTCATGTGTGATTTTGTGCCTCTTCATAGGTAGCTTATTTGATGTATTACTTCCCTGTTTTTCCTCCATTAAAGTTTTTTCCCTCCTCTCCCGTATAGGGTTGTTAATAAGCCCCAGTCTTATAAAGAGATTTACGCAGGTGGACTGTTTGCTCTTAGTGGATCTTTTGTAGAATTGAGGCCATAGACCCTTCTCCTATTAAAGTGAATGGGAGTTTAGCTATTGACTTCAAGGACCCAATCTCACACTGCTGTTGTTGGGTAAATGGGGAGACCTTCTGTTCTAATCTGGTCATTAGGTGACCGTTAACGTTATAGAAATGTGAGAGACTGTGATTTGCCATATCATCTACTAATTTGAATCTTGGGAGTTTGAAATACTAGCTAGGATGTGGAAAATTGTGATTTTTTTCATGCTAACTTTTTAATAGAAATGTTCACATTTTTGTTTTCAGTGATGTTTTTTGTGTGTGGGGGCGAGGAGTCTCATGACATGGAGTTTTGTCATTAAAATCATGCAGCTGTGAATTTTTGCATGTTCATGTGACCCTTTGCTTGAACAAGGATTCACATTTTCACATGGATCCAAAAATAATATTTGTAAATATTGGGCAACTTTCTGTCTTGTATTTCCAAAATGCTCTCAGTGCTCACATTTTCAGTTTTGTTAGGAAGTTTTCACAGAAAGTTGTCAATGAAGTTCACAATGAAAGATGACATTTTAACCTTGTATGAGAAGGTGTTAAACTTATGATACTGAGGAAGATATGATCAATAACATCTAAGGTCATGATGGATCATGCCATGATCTTTGCATGATACAACCATGTTCACAGTAGTGATGCTCAGCATGGGCTTAAAATTTGCAGGATTGGGGGACTAAAACCTTCAAACCCCTGAAAAAATTATATAATGAGACTTCTTCTGTACATGGAAGCATGGAAGTTGTGTGTTTGTGAGAATGAGCTATATTACAGATTTTTCTCTCTGTGGGGCTATGTTCTAAACATATGTTTTCTAAGAGAATAATTATCCTGAAATAGAACACTTGACATACTACATGTGGGATGTAGAATAATCAAGCAATATAAGTTTGTAAATGTGAAGTTGTTGTGAACATATGCATGTCTTTACTGCATTGTGAAGTACAAGTTTGAAGGTGGAGTGCCTCCAGCATCAAAGAAGTGTAGACGTCTTATTAAATTAACAGGTCCTGACATGTTTACTGCTTTTGTTAAATAGTTGTACAATTTTCCTAATGTAAGCATAAACATAATGTGTTTTCACTCCAATTTTCCTTCCTCTCCTCTATAATTTTACTCTATCCTCCTTGTGTAGTGAGTTATAAACAGGTCAATCCATTAAAAGATCGCAGTATTTTTGGCTTCCAGAATCCATTAAAAGATAATATAATTTGTTTTGGCTTCTTCTTGGAGAAATCAGCTTTCCTCATTTGTATAATTTTAATAAAAGATATAACTTTTAGAAAGAAGGGAAGTAAGACAACAAGACTTTAGGATGCAGAAGGGAAAATATTTATTTTTAAAAAGCAGATTTAAAAGCATACTGCTAACTCCCAGGTTGAAGGAGCTCCTTAAATCTAGGCACTAAGACTTGATAGTGAAGTATATAAAATATGAAGTTTATTGATCATGTCTGTACAGGATGAATAGTCAAATAGCGCTCACTAAACTTCCAGGTCAAATCCTCAGCTGTTGAATTGCAAAGGAAATCACTGGAGCTACAGAAATTGATGCCAGCTGGTTCTGGTCCCCAAAGTCCTGTCCCAGCATGACTTGGACTTCTACAAACTGGGGTAGACCATCTAGGGTGGGCCATTCTTTAATAGTTCCAGAGTTCTGGATAGGAAGACATCACAAACC